AAAAAAACATAAAAATAAAAACAATTACAGAAGAAGATGATAACAAATTGTGATTTTTGAATAAATATAAGACTATATATTTAAGTTATAATGGAGACGAAATCACATATGGGACAGGATTGAATAATACCATTGCTCATGAGGCAATGGTACCCATTGCAACCTTCGACCACAGCGGACGTATCAGACAAAGCACCTATTGGTACCCATTGATAGAATTCACGGAACTTGTTCCTTTTCTAACCCGTCGTCGTCTAGTGGCAGCACTATTATCAGTTGTGTTCTGGAAAGATTTACCCTCTTCTGGTTCAGAATCAGTTGCTGCAAAATACACTAACTCTTCGGCATTAATAGAACTGATCATAGCATCTACAAAACAATTATGAGAATAAAAGAGATTACAAACATATATAAAACCAACAGTCGTGTGAAACGAAAACAATAAGAAAAACATGATTTTCCTTTAAGCCAAAGTTTATATGTAGATCAATTCATAGATGTAATGATTTGAACACAAATACTTACCGATACATCTTTTCCGAATCCTTTTTGCTTTTAGAATATGCATTCGTCAAAATCGTCGATTTGTGTAGGAGCATACTTCCTGACATTGATAACTGTGGTATAAAGACAAAAATTAGCTAGGCAACTAATACTAAAATTTGAACATACATACTTTACATTAACCAAACTCACCTATTGCTTGAAGATGAGACACCGAGTGGATGTTCCTTGACGACACGTTTTCTAGACCTCATAGTGGACACAATAATTGTTAGGGTTTTGGTGTTATGAAATTAGGAGGTATATATAAAAGAATTAATGAGATTAATATACCAATTATAAAAACCAAGATAGGGTTTATAAATTACTAGATGAAGGACCTCCATATATGTGGGTATGTGATTTTATTTTTTATAAACCTATAGAAAATAAAATATTTAATTGTGGTGAACAGAATTAGATCATTCGTTAATATAAATAAAATCAAAGTAAGAATATTACTGCAAAACCATTGATCGAGAAAAATATCATTTATTTATTAATTTTTATATTTTTGTTATTTGATTTACAATTAAATTTTATCACATTTTTTGAAATTATTAGTTTTTTAAATCCTATTTAAATTTGGTAATTTTTTTACTTTTAATCTTATTTTACTCTTCAAATATCTACTTTGAAAATGTTGATGGATTATTTCTCATATTTATATTTGAACTATTTTTACTCTTGAATATTTTATAACTTGCAAAAATTAAAGACGAAAAGACAAAAGACAAAATTAAATCATTCTATTAAAATAATAAAATAAAATTGAAAACGTTATTACAAAATCATTTATATAGAAGTCTATAAAATATTTATATATTGTATTCTTACATTTTATTTTTTATATTGTTTAATTTTCAACTAAATTATATCAAATATATTCAAACAGTTAAATATTTGTAATCCTATTTAAAGTAGGATTACATTTTACCTCTTTTACTATTTACCAAATCAAGATAGTATTATTTTTAAATAGATAAATCTTTTGAAATATGGCTAAATTTAATTAAAAAACTACTTTATACTTGTTTAAATCTAACTAATTGACTAAAACATGCCTCATAAGATTAATTATCTTGTATAAAAATCTAAATTTGCAAAATAAATTACTTTTAACATTTTAGTAATTATTAAACATAAAACAAATCAAGTAAAAAGTGGAAAAATAAATTACTACACCTCATATCAATGTTGTCAACAACAAACGAAAAAATCGAGTTAAAATGAATCATATTAAGCTCAAAAAACAAATATATATTGTCGTATTCTATTTCACATACCAAAAATTATAATAATCTATATTTTCTGATGAAAAGCCAAAACAAATAAGTTTTATGAAAAATATTATTGAAGTTTTAAATTACGTAGAATGGAGAGAGTATAAAAGTATATAAATAAATGTGAAAATTTGGATATTTTAACTTAAATCTATTCAAACTAAAAAAATTACATGTATATTATAATATTCGAATAGGAAAAAGTATTTGATTGATTGTTTAATCTATTTCTATTTAAAATTAAAAGATTAAAATATCTAATTGATAAATACAAATAAATAAGTTTTTATTTAAAAAGTTGTTTGACATGTGGCAAAATCTAGTTGAACGTTTTTTAACACGTGTCAAAATTTAATCGGTTAACTAACACATTTAACGATTTTGTTAATTATCACGTTTGGCGCATCAAGGTT